TGGGGTAACACAGAGGCTCCAGAAGAGCCTATGGAAATACTCAGGTAAAGTTAGATTTTCAAGGCAAGAAATGCATGGACCTGTGATTGTGTCAACCACATTCCTTACGGGTAACTAAGATTGCAAAGAGGTCATGACTCTGCATCTTTCAGGCTGTATGATCTGTAGTGTACACAGCTCCCCTTCTCCGGATCTCAGCTTGCCTGTGTGTTAATGGGTTAGCTTAGAATTGATTATCCAAGCAGTAGGTGAGGAATTTGGACATTGCCATCAGATACCCCAAGCAGCAGAGGAGGGTAAATGGGTGCTATAGGGAATCTGGAGGACATAGTCTAAAACTTTGTAAGTACAAAACTTTGTTCAAGTCTCTTTTAATTTGTTTACCTAAAAATTCACCCAAGTGTTCTATTCCATACATATCCTATTACTGTCCCATATGCCCTACCTCCAAGCCGAGTAAAACCAGCCCGTTGGGAAGATGCCCCATGTTTATCTTGGGCTTCAAGTAACTCCTGGCAGTACTGGCTTTATTTAATCAGCCAGTTGGAGGCAGGAGTTTTAAACTGGCTCGGGGGAGCTCTGTGCGACAAGGCACCTCCCTGGGGCAGTTACTAAGTTTTGTTTTCACATTTATAAAGTTAGATTGAGGTGTTAGTACTTTTAGAACTCTCCAGGCTTTTATCCGTGACCCCTCAATAAGTAGATAATACATTTTCTTTACCGTTGTTGATATAATATCCAGGTCTTTTTTTTTTTTTAAGTTTGTAGTTTTATTGAGGCTAACTAGCATAGTTTAGTAAAAGTAGAAGTAGAAGGCCATCTACAAGGACACCGAGTTCACATAAAAAACAGATTAAAATTATGGATGCAACCTTATTTAGTGAAAGGAAATTTAATTATATCATTTGCTTCTGCAAAAATGATTATAAACTGAAGATTAGGAAGGGCTTTATGTTTTTCTTTTTAGAATTCCGTCTCCTCACCTTAGGTTATTACATAAAGGATCTCCTGTGAAACTGTAACGAGTTGTTAATGTCTCTCCATGCAGAACACACTGCAGTATGTTTCAGAAACATTTCTTGGTAACACAACATGATTAAGGGAATTCCAGAAAATCCCATTTTTTGTTAGTTATAAAAATGACTGTATAATCCCTTTAAAGTCCACATTAGCTCTCTTTGCCCAGAAGGAGTTAATCCTCAAGACATTACAGTCTCACATGACTCAAAGTGATTGGTCCACATTCTGTCAGCCTAGCAGAAATTTGTTGCATTGTTTTCTATAAACCACAACCAGAGCTCATTAATTGAAAAATGAATGTCAATTTCCATTAGCTGGCATCTATAAACCAGAAAGGTACAGTGATCCTGGCATGTGATGGGTAATAAAAACATCAGCAAAATGTCTCAGGTAAAATAGAGAAGGTGAGGGGGTAGAGGAATAAATTCAAAACCATATTGGAGTTTACTGGCAGGGCCCCACATCAAGGGTTTTAATGAGGCTTCTGCATCAAAATAAGGGAAACCACATGGAATGTTAATTATGACTACAGCATATTTTAAGTACAGATACCCACGAGAAGCATTTCTTTTTTTTTAACATGGACAAGCCTGTCTGTGTGAGCTTTGTGCTTCTGTGGGGGGCAAATGGTGGTGTTTTCAGTGTGACTTCTTTCTGTTTGCAATTGTCCACATTATTCTGGTTTCTCTCACATGAGCTGAACATTGAACTTAATCTGTACAGAAGTGGCCTGCCTAGAACTATTAGCGGCGCCAGCACTAGTTCACCTAGCTGCTCTGCAAGGAAAAGGCCCGCCGAGGAACATCTGGGGCCCTCACGTCGTGCGTGTGGCTCCTTCCGCAGAGGGCACGGGCACGGGGCTCGAGAGACCCTACGCCTCACCTGATCCCGTTTGCCCTCTCTCAGAATCACTCGGCCCACATTTGAACACTGGAGCCGGTTAGGATTTTGCATCCGGGAGGGGTGAGGTAGAGGCCGGTGGAAGATAGAAGACTTTGTAGAGAGCAGAGAGTAAACTGCCCAGAGTGTGTGAGTTTTGGTGTGTCATCTTGAAAGTGTTTGCTTCTGGTATTCGAAGCTGCTCACTAGCTCTTTACCCTCTGCTTGGGGGCCTGCGGATTCCGGGAAAGCACTCAGGAGGGGTGGGAACTTCTCTGCCTCCCCCTCCCCCTCAGACTGTTGCTTCTCCTCCTGTCTCGGAGTTCCCGGTGGTGATAGAGTGGTTAGAGCTGGAAGGGAACTTAGAGTTCATCCCCCTCATTTTACAGATGATGACACTGCCACCTCTGACTTCTGCCTCTGGCCTTCCACTCTCAGTAAGAAGAGCCAGGCAGGTGAGACTTGTTATTAACAATTGCTGGGTGGGGCTGGGCGGGGCCGGCTGATTGGTACTGTCCGATTTTTGAGAACAACTTTTTTTAAACTAGGTATCGCTTTTTAAATTGTCGCTTTTGATGACAAACGCACATCCTGGCCCTTATGAAGATCCCAGGCAGTGTGCATTTTAACAAAGATCCACAACTCTCAGTCAGCACCTTTAAGGAAACCCATTAAGATCGTTCCTTTAATAAACACTGTAGCATCCAAGAACAAGAGTTCAATAAAAACGGGACTGAGGATGTACCTCCTGACGGAGGCCTTGATGGAGCACTAAGTGCTTTCCCTTACGGATGAAAACTGTAGGAAAAGCAAACACGGCAGACGCAAAGACTTGGAAGGTTTTAGATGTGACAAAATCTTAAGAACGCTGGGATCATAAAAGGCCTTGTCCTAATTCTGTCAATTTTTGAAAATCATAACCCAGTCTTTAAAGATCACCACTCTTAATTTTTCAGGCATTTCAGAACACTGATTTTCACATGAAGTGCTTTATGACTATGGTTTTATAAGTTTAAGCACCAGAAATAGCTACAAAGGAGCCACACTGTTGGCTTTAGAAGTTAAGGGACTTTACATTTTAGAGCAAAACAAACTTTGCCTCCAGGTACCACTTGGAGTTAGCCTGAAGCTAATTCTATAGGATGTGGCACAGGGGCCTGGTGAATGGATGCTGAGGGAGGCGCCCTCTTCCTTGTCCGCCTGCCCGGCATGGAGCCTCTCACAAAAGAGGCTGTTGGCACCTGGCCTGAATAAGCCCTAGGTTACCCATCAAGGCTCGAGATGCAACTTCTCCCCAACCTACTTAATTTAGTTTATGACCCTCAGGAGAATTTCTAAGGGCTAGACTCTCCCCCACTGCCCCAGAAAAATAAGATAGTTCCAGAATACATTGAAATCTGGTATGAATTTTTTGGCATCCATTACTAAGATGATGAATAAAACAAAGACTATAGGTGATTTTAAGAACTGAAAAGAAGTGATAGGAACATTTTAGGGTATCTTTTTGGAGTTCCTTCATTGATGAAGGGGCCCTGCCAAGAGTACCAATAGCAAAACTGATCATTTTGGGATTTCTTTATATTGGGCGGAGAAAAAGAAACTTGTCCTACTTAGTAAAAACATCTCTTTCAAATACTTGAGGTGCAACGAGAAACAAAAAGAGAGGGAAAAAAAATCAATGAGGATTCAGTCTTAAGTCTGGTGAGTGAATCTGTGTGTTGGGTTGGTTTACACATAAGACCTAGCACACATTGGGGTTTTTAAAACCCTTTGGGATTCTCGGGGGCGGGGGGTGAAGGACTTAAGTACTGTAAAGTGAAAAAACAAAACAAAACAAAACTGTGTAGTGACCAGTGCATTTGAAGGTCTATTTGTGGCTTGCTGTTCCTTTTTGGGAAGCTAAAGGTTTTTTTTTTTTTTTCTTGTAAAAATTCTCTCATTATTTTAATTGATATTTACAGATTTTTTCCTCCCATCTTCTGTTATAATTTTTAGGTGCTTCAGAACTGGGCCCTTTTTCAGACCCCAGGCAGTTCCCAAGCATTTCATCCCTCACTGAGAGCCGCTTCTCCAACCCACGAATGCACTATCCAGCCACCTTTACTTACACCCCGCCAGTCACCTCAGGCATGTCCCTCGGTATGTCCGCCACCACCCACTACCACACCTACCTGCCACCACCCTACCCCGGCTCTTCCCAAAGCCAGAGTGGACCCTTCCAGACCAGCAGCACTCCATATCTCTACTATGGCACTTCGTCAGGATCCTATCAGTTCCCCATGGTGCCGGGGGGAGATCGGTCTCCTTCCAGAATGCTTCCGCCATGCACCACCACCTCGAATGGCAGCACGCTATTAAATCCAAATTTGCCTAACCAGAATGATGGTGTTGACGCTGATGGAAGCCACAGCAGTTCCCCAACTGTTTTGAATTCTAGTGGCAGAATGGATGAATCTGTTTGGCGACCATATTGAAATTTCCTCAGCAGTGGCCCAGCGGTATCTGGGAGCCGCATCCCAAATGTATCAATATATACATATATAGAGAGAGTGCATATATATGTATATCAATGAGCTATCTACAAAGTGCCTATTTTTTAGAAGATTTTTCATTCCCTCACTCAGTCATGATCTTCCAACCGTTAAGAGGGTAGAGATACTGAGAAGCAAAAGGCCCGAGAGACACCATCCTATCTAGGTTCCAGGTTGTTCTCTACTTAAAATGTACTTTTACAAACCAAGGAAAAAGGTATTTTTTTGTTGTGTTGTTGTTTGGCCTGTTACCACAAATCATCTGTTCCCATGGCAAGTCAGAGAGGTGGACTCCAGGTTCAGGAGGAAGAAGAGCAAAGCCACTTCCTCTCTGTGCTTTGATACCACACACCCTCGTGGTGGCGGCTATGTCTGGACCCGTGCACTCTGCAGACCAGCTTCCAAAACCGGTCGAGGTGCACATCAAGGGCAAAGAGGGAGAATGGATGATTCCATCACAGTACCATCCATTCCGAGTCACTGTCCCAAACTTTGCTTTCAGACTTGCCGTGAGTTCTCATCTGAACTATTTGGTTCAGTTTTTGTTCTTGGTTTTTTTTTTTTTTTTTCCTTTCCTACTTTAAGAAAGTGACTTCAAAAAAATACTGATTGAGATAGATGATTTCATTTTACTTTTTTATACTTCTTTTGTTTCCTTTTCCCATTTAACCAAAAAGAAATCCCATCCCTCAACACCACCCCTGCCCTGTCCCTGCACCTTTCTCCTTTTATGCAAAACTCAAAATGGCAATACCTTATTATAGCCATAATGGTATAGATAGTGTTTGCGTTTGGCTGTGTGTTGTTTTCTTTTTTTTTTTTTTTTAAATTATGAATATGTGTAAAATCTGAGGTAACTTGCTAACGTGAATGGTCATATAACTTTAAAGATATATTTATAATTATTTAATGACATTTGGACCCTTGAAACATTTCTTAGTGTACTGATACGTTGACTTCGGTCTCTAAAAGTGCTCTTTATTAAATAACAAATTTCTTCAGTGGGCTAGAGCCATATCTGAAATATTGCTAAGCAATTTCAGTTCATCCAGGCACAATGTGATTTTCACAAATACGTCCATCTCCAAATATCTTAGATGTAGCTTGTTTTTTGTGATGTATGAAGGAAATGTTATGCTTCGTTCTTTCAGACCTTGGATTGCCTCTGACACAGCTTTGCCTTCTAAAGCAATAATTAGGGATTTAAAAACCAACTCTTAGCCCTGTATCACTCATGTTGCCCTTTATTAGCATGAAATGCTGGAGTGATGTGGTTTCCCAGTTTCTTTTGAATAATGGTGACTCTTGTCATATTAAAAAGACAAGCACAAGTGAATCATTGAACTGCAGAAAAATGTTCTGTGGTTTCCTAGTTAAAGCAAAACTCTAAATCGCCAGGCTTCATAGTGAAGACACAGCTTAAAGCCACCCATGTGGCTTAAGGACTGATCATGATACACATAGGACAGTAAAGCCAAGTTGCACCGGGGATTCTTAACTAACCTGCCTTACCAAACAGTAAGTCAGGAGAACCCAGATCTGCCTCACCTGAGGCCCCACTGGCAGCTCTCTGCGGAATCTGCATTTAAAGGAGCAGATTTAGCCATTGTCTCATGGGAGCCCTGTCATCTGAAGGAGCTGGAGACTTCCAGCAGACAGCTGAGCTGAGTTAATGTAGGGCCTTGGGGACCCATATCAAACCCCTTGGGGTCAAAGGAAGGCAAGGCCATGTGGAGTTTGGTGTCTACTACTGTGTATGAATTTGAGCAGAAGCCCTCCTGTAGGATGCACTTTGGCCACTCCTGGCGACCACCTGGCAAATTCTCAGCGTGACCTTAATCCAAGCCAGGATCACTCCATGACACCACTGGGCAAATCCCTGCTGGCTCCCTCACCGGTCCGGGGGACCCCTTTGTTTCAGTTCTGTGCCCCCACTGAGCAGAACCTTGTAGAGATTTGTCCCCAGCCTCTGAGGACCCTTTCTCTGTAGTCATTCCCAGGCCCGCTTCATGGGCCGTCAAGCCTGGTGGGATGGTGTGTGTTGTGGGGGCATCTGGCCCTGTGCTTCTGCCTGGGGGCCTCCCTTACGACCACCCTGACTCCTCCCAACAAAAGTCGGGGGCAAAACAAAACAAAACAAAACAAAACAAAACACTGCCTTCTAAAGGTTGTATACCAAGTATGCTTAGATAAATAAGCCACTTTTCTATTACTTAACTAAGATGGAAGTAGTAACTGATACTATTTATTGTTTGTGTGTGGTAGCTTGAAGCACGCCACTGTCCATTTATTTGTTAAGTGTAAAATATGTGTGTTTGTTTCAGCAGCACTTAAAAAAGCCAGTGTCTGGTTACACATTTCAATTTTAATTAATTGACATAAAAATGTTACCGCCAGTGCCAGCTGTACCCTATTTAATAAAAAAGGTACTATATTTGTACATTATTTTTTAATGTTAAAAGGGCTTTTTTAAGTTTACAGTACACATACTAAGTGACTTTAGGGATGCTTTTGTGTTGAAATGTTATTATAGTGGCTGCAGGCAGCAACCCAGAAACACTTTAAAAAGTTTTTTTTTTCCTTGGGAAAAATTCAAGCACTTCTTCCTTCCACCCTCACTCCAACCACTCCAAAGGGGTAAGTCACATTTCTTGGATTGAATTCTGCCCTTTTTCAGCCTGGGGGTTAAATATTCCCTCCCCCTCCTCTTTTTTTTTTTTTTTTTTTAACCGAACCCTTAATTTGCACTGGGTCATGTATATGATCTGTGATTTCAAGACCAAAGCAAAGCCCGACTATTCCTCCTACCACAGAACCGCGTACTAGCCAACACTCTGTATTTCCTTCAGGTTCAAAGAGCACGGTTCTCTTTGTAGCACAGACGTTGCTGGAGTTTTCGGCGTGACCAGCTCAGCCGCTTTCTGTCTGTTTTAGTTGTCTCACAAAGTGTGACCAGTGTCAGGGTTCCAGAACATACCACAGTGTTGGTTTTAGATGAGTGAAATGACTTCCAGCCTGGAACTGAGAGACTCGACCAATGAACTATGGTTTGCTCTTCAGACAGTCTCACCAACCCCCACCCTGCCCCCAGGGCCTTTTAAAAATGAGCAGAGAAATCCACACCATTAGGGACCAACCATTGCAAACCCAGAGGGGAGGAGATGTGTGTGCTCCTTAAGAGTTCCCTTCATTCCCAGGAAAGGGACTGACTCAGAGTCTAGGTTAATACATGGAAACACAAAGCATGAGTGAAGACAATAACGACTTTTATGACATTCGAAAGAACAATCATAAATAAAGAGGACTCTGGCAAACCTTGAATTTGTTGTTCTTCAAAAGAGAATGCATTTAAAAAATATTTTCTGTGTGAGAATTTTTTAGATGTTTGTTTACTTCATGTTTACAAATAACTGTTTGCTTTTTAATGCAGTACTTTGAAATATATCAGCCAAAACCATAAGTTACAGTAATTTCTTAGGTATTCTGAATAAAATTCCATTTTTTTTTTGGATATGCTTTACCATTCTTAGATTTCTGTGGAACAAAAAAATGTTTGTAGCATTTTGTGTAAATACAAGCTTTTCATTTTTATTTTTCCAATTGCTGTTGCCCAAGATCTGCTTTCCCTGCACATATTGTACAAATTCTGCTTTGTGCCACAGGCCATGATTGTGGATGAGTTTACTTTCAACTTCAAAGGGACTATTTGTATTGTATGTTGCAACTGTAAATGGAATTATTTGGCATTTTTCTCATGATTGTAATATTAATTTGAAGTTTGATTTAATTTTCAATAAAATGGCTTTTTTGGTTTTGTTACGTGTGTACTTTGGGTCTTTTCTCAGCCGCGGTTTCTTCTCTAGTCTGACGCCTACTCCTGCCTACACCTGGGCCCTTCTTGGCCCTAGGACTTGCCAGGGCCAGAGGAGAGCGGGGTTCTCTGTGACTGGTGAGAGGTTAAAACATTTCGCTGAGCACTGCCTTCTTGGTTCGTCCTACTCCTACAGAGGTGTGGGTGAAGGGTCTAGCAGTGAACTCATTTCCTTGTCAGCCTGTGTCTGAAGGAGAGCGCGCCCACCCCATCCTTGAGTAAAGCCCCTTTACTCTGACAAAGGGACCAGACTGGATATAAAAGACAGTGGGCTCTGCAGTCCAAGGGGCATGTGAGCAGTTGCTGGCGAGTGAATTTCTTCCTGGCTAGGGTCAGAAGATCTCAGGCAGCCCTGCCATAGGAGATAATCTAGCTGCTTCCCACATCCCTTTTGGGTTCTTAAAAACAAAATCAGTCAAAGCTCAAGGGTAAGTAAAAATGGACCTTGGCCTGGAGAGCTGTAGCCTCAGAAAAATTCTACTAGGCAGCAGGATTAGGGTTTGGAGATCTGTTTGTTTTTAACGGGCTATTGTGTATTTTTGGTAAGTCCCTCCCCTTTGATAAGGTTGAGGGCCTGGGGTAGACTGGCTGCTCTTTTTCTGTCCTGTGCTATCTGTCCGCCTTCGCTTACCACAGTTCTAAAAGAAGGACCAGAAACCGTGAGGTGGAGATGCTCAGGCGCGGGCCAGTGGACCACGTGACGCTAGAGAGAGAGGCCTCCTTTGAGATCTGCTCATTCTTACCCCTTTGGCATCATGTTCTGAGAAATCTTGGAGACTGCTAATTTCTGAGACTAGGAGACATCCTGAAATCACGTGGGTGAGACCTAGGCCAGTGAACTTGTTTGCAGCTCTTTGAAGATGTATATTTATTTATCCTTTTTTATTAGACATCTGTGTAGCTTTCAAAGGCATTGCATGGGAGGTGGGCAGAGTGGCTTTTCCTTTCTCTCCAGCTTTGTCCAGCAGCATGGTTCAGGGCAAATGGCTTTACTCCTCTGGGTCTCAGTTTTTTGGCATATGGAGAGGCATCGGGCTAGACCTTGGCTTTGTTGACATTTCAGCCTGGAAAGTTCTTTGGGGTGTGTGTGTGTGTGTGTGTGTGTGTGTACGGTGTGTGGTCCTACACATCGTAGAAGGTTTAGCAGCCTGTCTCTGGCTTCTACCCACTAGATGCCGATAGCACTGCACCACTTGTGACAATGACGTGTCTCCAGAATGTTCCCTGGGAGGAAAAGTCGTCCCCAATCCAGAACCAGTGGGCTAAAGGCTCTCTCTCAATTCTTTGTTCAGGCTTTCTTGACAGAACTGGTATGAAAATACACTGCTCGTTATAACAGGATAGCCAGGGGGAAGACCGAGGGCCCTCCCCAGAGGTGGATGTGCATCATCCTTTTCCAGCCCTTCACCTGCTTGTCTCTCTGAGGATGGGAGGTGTCATGAGTGGGGCTCCTGGCTTTCCTGTCCACACGTCTCTTCCTCCTCACGTCCCAGGGAACGGCATAGCTGGGGAGCTTTGTGAGGCCCGGATGGCTTGGCCATGTTCATCATGGCTGCTTCAGTTCTCACTGGAAACAAAAGGCGGAGGAAGAGAGACGTTTGTCCAGTGTGTCTGACCCCTTGTGCCCCCTGCCCCCCATATAACTTATCATCAGGCACTGCTTTGAGAGTGGGCATTTCCTGTTAACTCAATCCCAGCCAACAGTGGCCCAATAAACACCTCAGCTCTCTGCTGCAGAGTTTATTTGTCTGGGAAATGGGTATTGTCATGTAAACAGGAAACCCCTGAAGTTATCTACAGATGCGGTTGAAGAGCCACATGTTTATATTTATGGGATTTGAAAACAGTCTGAAAAGGCAAGGGAGGAGATAGGGGAAGACCTTGTTCATAACCAGTGAGTGAGAGCAGGGCCTACAGATCCTCACAAGCTGGTTTCTCCTTCCTGTGGAAATGGGTAGCTAACAATCATGTCAGAGCCAAAAGCCATAGCTTGACTGATTCAAGCAAACAACCCTACTGCGAGTATCAGGTAAACTGTACAATCCAGTCACTTGGCTGCCCTGCCCCAATCATTTGGAAATCATTTTAGAGACCAGTTCTAGGAAACAATGGTTTGGGGGCATCTACAAAGGTAGGGGGCTTGGGAGAAGATGATCATGTTACCATCTCTAAGTTTTTCTGGGGACAACTCAACTGCCTGCCAGTTTTAGTGAGCCCAGGCCAGTTTGCCTGTGGGATGGCAGCAAACTCCTCAGGGGCCCCAGGAAGGATGTCTTCTTGCCAGAGCTGTCCGGGTGTTGGTATAGGGAAAGTGCAGGTGGTGAGACAGCTGGACTGCCCGCCAGGGCTGGGTACACTGGGTTACTCCAATTCCTTTTCCGCCCATCTCTGCTCTTCCTTCATTGGCTCTCCCCTCAGGACTGCAGAAGGTGCTAAGCAAGGCCAGGTAGGAACCAATGCGTGGATAGCAGATGCTCTGTATTTGAATTCTGAGCTCTGAGCAAAGGCAAGGGAATCTCTCTCCTCCTTGTCTCTATTTCTGGGTACCCTGATAAGTCTCTCGGTGACTTCCCAGTAGAGGGTACTCAACTGGGAGGCCTTGGGAGTGAAGATGTTAAGAAGCTATGAATTCAGTTATGAATGTAACAAAAAGCAGGGTCCACCACAGAAGAAAAGGGTACTACACTGAGGGCTGTGCGCAATGTGTGTGCCTCAAGGGAGGGAGCGAGGACGTAGAGGGATGGAAAGGGATGCCTGAGCAGCCATTCAGGGAAAACTGAAGTGCGCGCACGCACACACGTACACGCACATATACTCCTCCATACAGCATTTACTTGTCTCAGGTGTTTTTCTTGCAAATCCTGCAAAAGAGTACCTCGTTCCGTAAGTGGTGAAGAAGCAATTCTTCTCCGTATAGGTTATTTAGACAGAACGAGGGACACCGGATCTTCCCTGAAATGTCGGGGGTACCCTGGAGCTGACATTTAAGAAGGGATTGTTATTTTTGTGAAGCTTTTATTTAAGAGCTTTTTTTTGTGACGCGACTGGCCCTGCTGTTGAGACATGCACCACTCGTTGGAAAGCAGAAGGATCAAGTTTCTGGAAGCCCACTTAACTTTTGCTAAAACTTATTTTGTTTTGTTTTCTTATTTTGTGGCAATGATGTCTGGCCACTTAGTGAGGTTTTCTGGAAAACCTGCTTTCTGTTTTTAGCCAATGCAGCTCACAACTTGATGGCTTTTTTTTCCCCCACCCAAGGTCATTCTGTGCCACTCTGTAGCCAGTAGGGAAAAGGGAAGAATTGCCCACCCACCCCGTCCCCTTCATTTTTATAAGGAAATCAAGACCATACAGCAAAATGGAAAAAAAAAAAAAAAACTGAGATGGACATCTGGGGGCAAGCAAAGGTTCTTCCACACAAGTCCCTCAAGAAGTAGTTTTGTCTGCACAACATTAAATGAGACCAAAACCCAAAATTGTAACCGGGTCTCAGGTGGCCTGTACTCCTTAGGCCTTAGACAATTCTCTTGGAGAACCCGAAGTACCAGAGTGAGCTGGGATGTGGAAAACGGAAGCGGGATACAGCAGGCTGTGTGGAGTGAGGCGGTTCAGGATCTGGTGGCTTTGAGGGAGAGGAGTACCGGGAACTCCCAGCTGGATGATGGACTGATGTAAACGTGTGAATTGATTCCTCGAAAAGAAGCAAGAAAGCAAGCAATGAAACCCCGCCACACTCATCATCGTGGGAGAATTAATACAACAGTTTTATGTTTAAATCTCCTTTGACATCATTTCCTTCCTAAATGAGGTCATTTATTTATTTTTTTTTTAGAATTCCATCCACCCCTCTGACAGAGCAACAGCTCAGGCGAGTTTCACTTTCTGTTTCTGAGTTTCTCTGAATTCTTCTGCTCCCCCTCTCCCAAAGCAGAGGAGCCTTCTGTGGCATCCTGACATCTCCGGGGCGGGGTTTGGGGGGACACCTCAGCCCCATTCTGTCTTCTCTAACACTCATTTCATATTTCAGTCTTGAAAGTCACCCTGACCTTTCCTTCTCCTCAGCCATGTGTGCTTCAAGAGCCTTTTTATGTGCGGATTTGGGGGGCGTAGGGAGTCTGAGTCCTTATCAAGATCTTCTTATTAGTGGTTTCACAGATGAGAAGGGCAGAGATTATCACTGACTGTGACCCTCCACCACAGCTTCTGGAACCTACTCTGTGCTATCAGATTGCGCAGGGCAGGATGGAGGGGCCCACTTTCCTGTCTCGTGGGCACGAGAGGGAGCGAGAAGGACCGGGAGGGAGGCGAGTGTGGAACTTTCTCAAGGAGTTAAGTGGTTAATAGGAACTCAGTTTTTTTTATTGGCTAATAAAACCTCCCAGGGTTTTTTCATATTATATGGCTCCTTCAGGCTCCCAGCCCGATGCTTAAAAAAAGAAAAAAGTCGCAAACAACAACAAAAAGCTGGAACCTAACTACCAGGGCTGTCCCAGTCGTGTTTACTTTTTCATTTCCGCAGTTGTAAAAAAAAAAAAAAAAAAAAAAACCTCCTCTGGTAGTTCAATTTTATCACACGGCAGGAGCAGATCAGTGTTTGAACGGCTCCCGGGCTCCCTGCCTCCCAGGGTGAGGAAGAAGCCCACTTTTGGTCTCCGGTTCAGGGAAAAGAGGAGGGAACTGCGAGGCAAATGATGGATGCGTCGGGGAAATTTGGAAAAGTGGGCGGTGGGGGAGGAGGGAGAGCAGATATTGAACTGCAATACATCTCTGGAATCCTGAATGCAAATGATCTCTGTCCTTTTATTGCCAGTGGTGCTGTTCTCCCAACAGAGCAGGATGTTCTTGTTTTTAATAATAGCCAGACCAGATGCTAAACTCTCCTCGGCAACGTGCTGTATAAGTGAGAAGGCAAACAGCTGATTCCTGTTAAGATGAACACCAGGAGAAT